TGCAGCTGCAGTGCAGGGCGGGGCCGGTCCGCTCGTCAGTGTCGCCGTGGCAACCGTATCCATGACGACGGGAGATGCGCGAGCTCCAGAGGATCTGGCGGTTGCTATGGTACCGAGGGGTTGAGGAGTCTATTTTGTGATGGCGCGCGCGCGCGCGCACACACACACACACGTATTTCCCAGCTTCTTTCTTAACAATAAATATTGCAAAGCATCGTTTTCTTTTTTTCTTAATCTAATTTTGCTGTGAATTTAAGTTGGCCTTATTGATACGCATCCACCACGACAGACTTGTCTGTCTCATGTTGCTCATCCAGCTTATGCATTCACTATGCAGCCCATGAAAACACTCAGCACTCTGACTTCTGCGTACCTCCTGACCACACACCACAGCTGCTGCTTGCTCCTCCCCAGGAAAGCAAAAGACAGAATGCCATCTCCAGGTTCCTGTGAGACTTACTATGCTTTCTTGCCTAAATTTTGTATATATATATATAAAAAAAACCAACAAAATGCTGCTGCTGCTACTTCTTTGTAGCCAGGCAAACTGCAAACACTTTCATTTCTTGATCTTACTGAGTATACAGGATAACAAAAGAGAATGCTTAAGGCTCAGAAAGGTAGGGTAAATTCTCTTCAAGCAAGGCCTGTCAATCCCAGCTGGCAAAAACATCCCTATAAATCAGGCGGGCCTTGGTGGCCCATGCCGTTAATCCCAGCACTCGGGAGGCAGAGGCAGGAGGAGCTTTGTGAGTTCAAGGCAAACCTGATCTATAAATTGAGTTCCCGGCCAGGCTCCAAAACTACACAGAGAAACCCTGCCTCAAAAAATCAAATAAATAAATAAACACACAAACCCCACCCCTATAAAGATATGGCATTGGGGGCTGGATAGAAGGCTCACTGGTTAGGAGCATTGGCTGCTATTCCAAAGGACCTGGGTTCAATTCCCCGAACCCACATGGCAGCTCACACCTGTCGGTAACCCCAGTTCCCAAAGATCTAACAACCTCACACTGATACACATGCAGACACAGAACACAAATGCAAATAAAATAAAAATAAACAAATCGTTACAAAAAAAAGAATATGGCGCCGGGCATTGGTGGCAAACTCCTTTAATCCCAGCACTCGGGAGGCAGAGGCAGGCTCTGTGAGTTCAAGGCCAGCCTGGTCTTCAGAGCAAGTTCCAGAACAACCTCCAAAACAATACAGAGAAAACGTGTCTCAAAAAAAAAAAAAAAAAAAAAGGAAAGAAAAAAAAAAGAAAAACCAAGAATATGGCATTCAACAGTGAATTTTTTAAAATTTTTATTTAATAAAAGGTCTTAAGATACAGAACATTCAAAAGTAAATAAGTTACATAGGTACATTACAATCACAGCAAGATTCTCTTTAGTGTATTAATTTTTTTATAAAAAGCACACAAAAAATAAAATTTTCAGTCTGGTCTATCACAACTGTACAGCAAAAGAGGTAATATTTATATATATGTACACTATTTAATATGTAACAGTCTTTTTTAAAAAGAGTGCCACAGGCAACAAACACATGAAAGGCAGTGTCTGATCATTTTGTTTCAAAATAAAAGGAATATACTTATTTTATGCTATTAAAATATTTGTACAATAATTACAGACTGTCAAGGCTGTTCCTGTGCTCTGTCCTCAACAAGGCCTTCAACTTAGCAGACAAATGAGGAAAAGTTCTAACAGCTGCAATTTTTTTTTTTTTTGAGGCAACAAACACAGCCAAATGTGGGTTAGACACAACTTTTTTTTTTATAAAAATATGCATACTTCCCATAAAAACCTAAGGAGTTAGGCTTTGCCAGTCTAGTAATAAATAACAACCCAGAAAAGTGAGCCCCAGTAAAAACATTTAAACAGCTGAGGCTTGAGTACGTGTGTTTCCTCCTTCACCTTTAACACCTGGCACGTGAGAAGAAAGAGGTTAGGTCACTGAGGCAGTTAAATATAGGCAATCCCTTTAGACACTGGCAGCACAGGATCTCTGTGCGGGGGTGGGGTGGGGTGGGGGTGCGGTTGCAGAAAGGTAGATATGTACCTTAGCTGTGAGGGGGCTGCTGAAGGCGTGGAGGACAGTAGTGACGGCACTGTCTCCTTAGATGGGTAAGAGACCCCAGAAATGGTCCAGAACACAGGCACTATGTCAGTTTCATGCCCTTTGCCGAATGCCGGTGGAGGCTGTGGGACAGGTAAGGTGACATGGTCTAGGAAGGCTAATATCAAGCTGAAGTTGTTACTTATTCTTAAAGCAAAAAGCTCTGAATAATAATAATAGTTAATAATAAAACAACAAAAACCAAGCCCAGTGTGTTCATATGAGAAAGCACCAGTAAGGATGTGCCTGTGCCAGCCTCTGGCTACTCGCCACAAGTGGATCTGCCCGTGAAATAGTACAGTTTTCATGCTGCACCCCGGAGCATGGACTCTTCAAAAAGTGTCTCATGAGATCACCACCAATAGGTAGCATCTTGATTTTTTTTTTTTTCTGGCTATGTTCATCTGGTCTGGTCTCTGTCAACTTAGAAAAGTAAAACTGCTTCTTTTTATTAAGATTTCTAAGGACTGGCAGGTACCACTGAGCAGAAGGGTCTCGTGTGGCTGTAGATGTCTGATACCACATGTCCAAGGGGCCTGAGCCAAATATGGTTTAAATAGAAAAAAACCTTGGGAAACCTAAGTAGCACTTTGGGGCTAAGCTGTGAAGGCACTCATTATACAAGTGATTTAGGAGAAAGCCTAAATTTGTTGTCCTCTTGCTTCCAGAGGGTACCAGATTTTTGCAATCTTGAGACTTGAGTTTGTAGAAGTCTACGGAAAAAAAAAAAATTAATGGGGAAGCTGTAGGTTTAGGAACCATCCAGGCATCTAGGGGGACATCTTTTGTTACTTTCATAGGCAGTTCTCATAGAACCATACTAATGAATAAATGAATACAAAAAATACCCAATAGTGCATAGCTTAAAAACAAAACACCTCGTCTATTTCCACTTTCCAGCAGGGCTGCGGGCCATCTGCTACAGAACAGTGAAAGAATCTTTAACAAGTTTGACCACTCAGACACATCCACTTAGACGTCCTTCCGCACAACTAAAGCTGAGTAATGATATCAGAAAAATAACTTAGGCCCCTATGGAACTGGCAAGTGAAGGGACCTCCAGAACATTCCGACCCTTCAGTAATTTCATGCCAAATATGGTTTCTTCAAGCCAGAATCCAGGCTGATAAACAAAACGAGAATTCTGGCCTCCTGCCAACTCCCTCAAGCATTTTGAAAGTACAGAAAGGGCAGGCCAGAGAACTGTCTTTGACCTCACCCACATCTGCCCTTCCTCTGACTTTAATGACACTCCCCACCTTTCCGGCCGGTTCAGCACTACTACCATTCCTAACAGCAAGAGCAACAAGGTAAGGGACCCTAGGGCCTTGGAATTGGGGGTGGGGATGCCAAGAAGGTGCCTTATTTGGGGATAAATGCACTTGGACCTCTGGAAAGCAAGAGGCCCCTGGTCCCTGAGGATGTTAAAAATTAAATATTAAGAATAAATAAATAGTTCCCAAATGACACGAGTCGAGGAATGAAGGCTCCTGGCTAGTCTAGTTAGGGGACATCCCCTCCCAGGGAAGGATCCAGAAATCTCCAGCATGCAGGACAGGGGGTGGGGGGTGGGGGAGGCTGTAAATATCGACACCGAGTGGGGTGCAATGGGGTTAGGTGGCAGCTACTAAGAGCTGGCACCGAAGAGCAGGCCGGCCCTTTCCGGGACCGCTTGAGGCTCCTTTAGCAGCCTCCAGGACCCAAAGGTATAAAATGGTAGTCATCAGGCTTGTCAAAGGATCCCTCGGGCCTGGCTCTGGATCTTCTGCGCAGTTCCCTTCCCTGCAGCAGGCTGAGAGCAGGGACATGAACAGAGGTCCCTTCCTCAAATGTCTGAGAAAACTAACTGTCCCAGCCCCAGACGGGCTGATAACAAGCAGCGAAGAGGTTGAAACTGCCCTCCAAGATACTCCTAGGGAGGAGGTGACCTGAAGCCTGATCACCGGAGCAGCTCCGGCCTGGCCACAGTTGTACAGGAACAGCACAGGTATTAAGGCCACCATTCTCTGAGGAGTCCTTTTGTTTGCGGATTGGGGCAAGGTCTGCACAGCCTTCCAGGTCCTCCGGGGGAGGAGGACTACTCTGCCACGGGGTGAGCTTGTGCTTGGCTTTCCACGGTGGCTTACTAGGACCCGGGATGAAAGAGGCAGAGACGTGAAAAGACAGGCAACAGCAGAGATCCAGGAGGCAGCTGCAGAGCCCTTCCCCCTTCCAAGGGGCCTGGCCTCTCAAGGCTCCAGGAAAGCAGAACAACTCGACCAGATACTGAGACAACTGGATCCTGCAGCCCTTAACACTGTCCTCGGCCTTTGTAAATAAAAGAGCCTGTTTATTTTTCATTATTGGATTTGTTTTGCAGAGCAAAGTCCACGTGATCCTCTCCTGGCTCCCTCTAGAGGTTCCCGGGTGCTGGGTGCGGGGCGAGAGCAGTGAGAGGGTCCAGCGGGGTCTCAGCCCTTCTCGCCCTCTCCGCTCTCTTCCCTAAACGCCTGCTGGTGCACAGCTGCAGCCTCCTTCTCTTTCAGCCTCAGGGCTGCCGCCTTCTTCTCCTGCTCCGCATGACTCTTCATGTGAGCACTGCGGCTCTTTACCTTGTAAAACACCCTGCAGAGGGCAGGAGGGGCTCAGGTGAGAGAGAGCAACCCGGGGGCTGGGGTGTGACACCCTTCACTCAGTAACTCCCTTAAGCTCCAACCCCAATCCGCCCACCTTCACCCGTCTCACT